GGCGGGATAAGAGTCCAGGCCCGCAGTAGAGCTCCTTTTTTTTTTTTTTTTTTAACTTTGCTGATGGCTGGAGTCTTATTCGTGGGGAGCAGCACGTGCTGGGAACCGGGCCCGGCGTCCCACATACAGTGAATCCGAACGACAAATGCTTGGAGTTATAGACCCACCGTCCCGTAGAAGCCTTACAACACCCCCCGAAGTGCGCACCCCGGTACTGCCTGACATTCTCCTAGTCTGTGTGCTTTTCTCCACAATCCTAAGAGAAAAAGAAGCCTCAATTCTTCCAAACAGAAATCGAAAGATGCTCATTAAAAAATACTCGTAAAGAAAAGCTATCGGTGCCGGCGATACGCAGAAGAAAGAAGCAAAGGGTAAAAGGGGCGGGCCCTCCGCGTCCGCGCTGACGGCATTCACATGTGAAATGAAGGGCATGCAATTTTCTGTACCGAGCTCGGATACGAATGTGACTTTGCCAATCGCAAATTACCGCAACATTTGCAAGTCGTCGTCGGTTTGCTGTCAGTTTGACGTTCCACAATGCGCTATGACATCAAAAGCACCACCGACAAGACGTTAACAAGACGGTGTAAATCTGTGACGTCATCTGTCTTGTCACACGTCGGAAACTGCACATCGCGCGTCCCAAATTGCACATCGCGCGTCGCAAATTGCACATTACGTATTCCGCCGATACACAAATTGCACATCGCTAGAAGCTTCATAATCGCGCGTCGCAAATTGCACATTACGTATTCCTCCGATACACAAGTTGCACATCGCTAGAAGCTTCATAATCGCACGTCGCAAAATGCACATTACGACGATTACGTATTCCGATACACATCTGACACACAGATCGCATATAGCGAATCGGACATTTTAGGAGTTTCTGATTACTTCCAGATGCACAAATCTGTGATGTCATCCGTCTCGTCACACGTCGTTGGAAACTGCACATCGCGCGTCGCAAATTACACATTACGTATTCCGATACACAATAACTGCGCGTCGCTAGATGCTTCATAATCGTGCGTCGCAAATTGCACAACATTACGTATTTCGATACGTCTGACACACAAATCGCATATGACAAAGTGCACATTACCGGTTCCGATTAGATGCGCAAAAGCGCAAGCCGAACGGACGTTTCACAGCGTGCTCCTATCTATCTCAGCTGCCAGCCTACGACGACACAGTGGGGCTAAAATGACAACTACTCTTCGATCCATGAATCGCAATATCACAGCCGGCCGTTCTTCAATCAGCGAGTCGCAAAATCAGAACCGCTCCATGATCGACGAATTGCAAAATCACAACCGCTCCTCGATCGACGAATCGCAAAATCGCACCGCTCTTCGATCCAGAAATCGCAAAACCACAACTACTCTTCAAGCCGCAAAGCGCAAAATCACCACCACTCTTGAGCGTTTCGCGATGCACTACAACATCATCACAGGCCTCAGTCGATGACAAGCCCTTCGCGCAAAGCGCCACGTCTTCGAAGCGGGAGCCGGATGGATGTTTCGCAATGGGCTATGTCGTGTACTCCGCATTGATCTTCACATAATCGTAACTCAAGTCGCACCCCCATGCCTTGCTATGACCCGGTCCAGAGCCTGCTGTCGCACAACATTCGCCGGTTTCAATTTTTTTTTTTTTTTTTTTTTTTGGGGGGGTGTTGGGGGCAGTCCGAAACCAAGATAATGGGTGAGGGAGGGGTACGATGGCAGAGTTCATTCAAGAAATAAATAAGATCTTAAAAAAAGAAAAAAAAAAGGGCTACCACAGGACAGAAAAAGGAATTGATTTTCTACCAAATTTCTGCTCATGGTATTCCTTTGGCCAGAGAAATGAAAAAAATAATTAAAAAATAAAAATAAAAATAAAAATGCTAGTGGTATCTGTTTTAATCAGTATCACTAGCACTGCAGGGTGTGTTTTGTAAAAAAAAAAAAACAAAAAAAAAACAAAAAACAAAAAAAAAAACAATAATGCTATACACTGCTTACAGTTTTTAAGTTTAAAAACATCTTTTTTCTTTGCAGAGTTCCGTTCCCACGATCCCGACACGCGAACAGGCATTTCAGAAATAAAATTTGGAAAACTTGACAACTGTTTCAAAATGGACAGTGTTTGACTGCGAGTCGTCATTTGAAAAAAGAGAAAAAAAACACAGCAACTTACTACTTACTCAAAAAACTTCAAAAAAGTTAAAAAAGTTAAAAAAAATGTGTAACCAGAGTGGCCTGGGACCACTTGCCCAGCCGGCCCAACAAAGAGTAAGAACAAGAAAATAAAAATAAAAATGAAAACACTAAATTTTATTATTTTTCCATTTTTATTTTTTATTTTTTGAAATTGGCAAAGAATTTCAATGTGACCCTGAGGCAAAAGTTGTTAGTTTTTTTTTTTTTTTTGTATAACATACTAGGCTACCAGACGGGACTGGGGTAACAAAAAAAAAAAAAAGAAAAAAGAAAAAGGGCTACCAGCTGGGACGCCCGGGTCGCCCCGTTTTGCCGGGCGGCCCAGCCGTGCAAGGACCAGAGAAGATCCTAGCAAAAAAAAAAAAATAAAAAAAAATCCAAAAAATCCGATTGGTGCAGAAAAAAAAACTGAACAACTTTTGCCTCAGGGCCACATCGAACTTCTTTACCAAATTTAAAATAAAAAATAAAATTAACTATTATAATTTATAATAGACTAATAGTGTTATTAATACTTATTATTATTATTGTTTTGGGCCCGGCCGGGCAAGTGGTCCCGGGCCACTCTGGTAGCCTTGATAACATAGTTTTTTTTTCGGATTTCCTGGATATCTTTTTTTTTTTTTTTTTTTTTTTTTTTGCAGGCACCCTTCCTTGGCCCTTGCCCGGCCGACCTCTCTATTGCCCCCGTCCAGATTAGATCCTGAAATCTGCATGGGATCCTGATGGTCCCGCATGCGGGTCCAGCATAAGTTCTGCATAACCATATAGTTCACAATGGTAAACAATTCTCCAATAATTTACTTTTAATATTTTATTTCATTTATTAATATCGATTATTTCTTTTTATTGCCATTTTATTTGCGCCTTTTTTTAAATCCCAATAAGGAAATGTTCAACATAGTTTAAAGACTTTTTTTTAAAAAGCAGTCTGAATATACGGTGAGAACGATTCAGAACTGAAATCGACTCAGGGCATTACAGAACCAAGACCGCCGTTTCAAATTTTACTTGACTGAATCTGGCTTTGTTTAGGAAGGAAATACATCCAGAAAACTCTGGACTCTGGAGTGAGCAAGCATTTATAATTTTAGTATTAATTAAATTAATTTCATATTCACCTGGATCAAGATAGCACATTACTTTACGGGCTGTTTAATCTGACTGAATCTGGCCAAATTTTATGGCCAGATTACCTTCACTTAATTATGGGTTGAGGCCGCCAGTGGGGGTCTGGCTAACACAAAGACCGAGACCTGCCAGTAGCTGTGCCTCCCTTTCTCATTGTCCCCCACCCTTCACCGAGTAGCAGCAGAGGCTATGGCCAACACTCTCCCACACACCACACACAACCCACTCGCGCTCACACTCACACCCGTGTTGGTCATAGACCCCGCTAATACCGATCAGGGGTATCCAGAAGACTATCGCAGTCCGTTGGCACTAAGTGCGCCGCAGGCGGCCATGGGGCTTAATGTTTTTCTTAATTGTTTGGCTTATTTTCACATTCACCGTGCTCCCCCCCCCCCCCCCCACCCCCCCACTTCCCGGCCCCCCTCTGAAGGTAACCTATTATTCTGGCGTCGGTCTACATGTCGGCAGGAGCCACAAGGGGGCGGCTGTTGGTGAGTCTGTAGCTTTGGTCGTGGACATACGTGCCGGCGACGTTTAGAGAGAGAGAGAGAGAGAGAGAGAGAGAGAGAGAGAGAGAGAGAGAGAGAGAGAAACAAGCCACAGTGGAGGTTGAGTTAGGAGAGAGAAAAGAGGTATGACATAGTGCTTTTACCGATGCTGATGTCGATGTGCACAGTACCGTGGCAGTCACCCTTTTGTTTCAAATACGCACTCGCTCCGGCACTTCAGGATGCAAGATGGGGGCATCAGCAGCAGCAGCAATTTGGACAAAACGACCAGAGGAGACGGAACACGTGGCTCAATTTAGCACACACGGACTGCCAGAAAAGTCTCAAGGCATAGGTGATAAATAAATCACTTAGACGACAGAATCAATAGATGTGTAACCACGCGCCAAAATAATTTCTCTGTTTTCGCTGCCCCGCCACAGCGAACATAGTAAGCAATATTGAGCTAGCCCAGTGGGTACCTATACTTGATTGTCAAGTAAAAAAAAGAAACATACCTGAAATGTTGAAAGGAAAGAACAAGGGTGAATGACCCCTGTGCAAGGATGACACACGCATAAATCGAGAAATTGTCCTGAAAAAAAAAAAAAAAAAAAGGGTGGATACACTGCGTAATATGACTCAATATATGATTATTATGAACTAATATGAAGTATTATGAAAATACCAAGGAAAAAAAAAAACAGGCAAATAAAAAGGAAAAACTGTCAAGGAAGTCGGAAAACAAAAATACAGAAAGAACCTAGGCTACCAGCTGGGCGGCCCGGCCGTGCAAGGACCAGGGAAGGTCCCAGCCGGAAAAAAAAAAAAAAAAAAGAGATCCGAAAAATCTGAAAACAAACTATGTTATGCAGAAAAATAAACTGAAGAAGTTTTGCATCAGAGTCACATCCAAATTCTTTAACTAATTAAAAATAAAAAATAAAATAAAACATAGTTTATTGTATTTTATTTATTTTTTATTTATTTTTGGCCCGGCCGGGGAAGTGGTCCCGGACCACTCTGGTAGCCTAGGAAAGAACAAAAAAAAAACAAACGAAAACAGGCAAATAAAAAGAAAGAACACTATGTCCTTTGCAGCCCCCTGCCAGGTGTTTCACCTTGGGAACTGCTCTCCCTGCACAGAGCAGAAATAGGCCTTAGGATAGCCTAAGGCCTGTTTAGTATAGCTTAGGCCCATAACCTTAGGACAGCTTAGGCCTGCTTACAGCAGATAAAAAGAAAGAACTGTTTGTTCTTTCCAGCTTCCTGCAAAAGAAAGAACTGTTTGTTCTTTCCAGCTTCCTGCACAGAGCAGAAATAGGTAGGCGTAGACCCATAACCATAGGATAGCTTAGGCATGCTTAGGGCATACTCGAGCAGAAATAGGCCTTAGGATAGCCTAAGGGCTGTTTAGTATAGCTTAGGCCCATAACCTTAGGATAGCTTAGGCCTGCTTAGAGCAGATTACAAGAAAGAACTGTTTGCTCTTTCCAGCTCCCTGCGCAGAGCAGAGATAGGTAGGCGTAGACCCATAACCGCTTAGGCCTGCTTAGGGCATACTCACACCAGGCCCTCAAAATCGCAAAACCCCAAAATGAGCGGCCATATCTAGTCCTTCCTTTACAGGGACTCGATCTGGCCGCTCATTTTGTGATTTTGCGAGGTTAAGGGCCTAGTGCGAGCATGCTCTTAAGAGTATATTTAAACCACTAGTACACGGCCCCACCCTTGCAGTTCAATGTTGTCGCGACAAGCTTCAGATTTCGGCGCCGGCCGCTTTGGGGTGCCGTTGAAAGAAAAAATTTGCGGCCTTCGAAGTGCCGCAGGTTTCATGCTGAAACCCGCGGCCGATATATGGCGTACTGGTGCTTTAAACCACCAGTACATGCCTCACATCCGCTGTGGGGGCGTGTCAGAGGCCGAAACGCGACACCGGCCGACGATTTCTTATATCGACGGCGCGCCGGTGCCGACTTTTCCAGATAGGCGACGAGTTTCTTTTCAGCAAGGCTGGGGCCGTGTACTGGCAGTTTAAGGGTGGTCTTCCATCAACTGCAGGGTAGCTGGCCGGCCGCCGATTTCTTTTATCGACGGCGCACCAGCGCAGACTTTTCCGGATAAGCAACGGGTTTCTTTTCAGCAAGGGCTGCGCCGTGTACTGGCGGTTTACGGGTGGTCTTCCGTCAACTGTAGGGTAGTTGGTTCCGCTGAATAGATCTGCCCTGTAGGGCTTTTGGGTAGGGGATAGATATGGGTAGATAGTGTGAGGCAAGAGGGAGGAAAATAGGGCAAGTAAAAATAGTAAAATACAACTGTCCCCAATATGGGGAGAAGGCAGGTGTGTTAAGGGAAAAAAATAAAAATAAAATAAAAGAGCTGTAAAAAACTAGGCTACCAGCCGGGCTGCCCGGGTCACCCTTTTTTCCCGCGCGGCCCGGCCGTGCAAGGACCAGGGAAGGTCCCAGCAAAAAGAAAACAAAAAACAAATCCAAAAATTCAGAAAAAAACAACTCTGCTATTCTGAAAAATAAACTGAACAACTTTTTTCTTTTCTTTTCTTTAACAACTGTTTACTTTTTATACAAGCCAGGAAACCGGCCCGGCGTCCCTCACATATGTGTAGTCGGCTCCTGATTACGAGTGAGGCATCACTGGCCAAGCCATATCAGGAGTCGAGAGGAAAACAACTAAAAAGATGTACAACCAAAACAACTGAGAAGCCTACAACAAAAACGACTAAGAGGCCTACAAACCAAATTGTAACCTGTACCTCTAATCTTAGATCATACTCAGATTCTGTGTCCTTTGCCTCAGGGTCACACGGAAATTCATTGCCAAATTAAAAAATATATATATCGTCAAATAGAACTGCCCGGTAAACCGTAGGCAGAGAGGGAGAAGAGGACAACAAACGAGGGGCTGTGACAAACTGTTTCGTCGGAGTTTAATATATATATATCGTCA